TTCAATAGTTTTCACAAAATTATTAAATTTAACTAATTTTTAAAATAAGAAAACTATTGAAAAATGTGAAAATGCCGCCAAGCTAAGCACAGTGCAAGTGAAAATGTCGCATGGAATTATTTACAAATGCGTTTAGACTGTGACTATGCGGGAGCACTTTTTCAATTTTGTGCAACTATTTTTTTTTTTTGAAATTGAGTTCGAAATGAAATGACGATTGTTAATGTTCTGGAGATAAATTGATTTATGATTTATGATTTACATTTGATTTGTTCAGATATAACAAGATAATGCAAAAATAATGAAACAATTACAGTATTTGTAATAATATATTTGAATACGTTTAAAATTTCTCGAATATTTCATTACGATACGGGAAGTTACAGCAATTTGCCTTAAGGCACGATACCATACACCATTAGTTTTTATTTATTTTTTTCTTTCAGGATCCTTTTCCAAAGTATTCAATGACGATGCAGAGTTTTCAACACAAATTCTGGCTTTGTCGAGATCAGAAATAAAGGGTTCTAAAAAGATCTATAAAATTCTAGCCAGTATCAACGTTTTTTGCCAACTAATACAAGTAAGATGATTATAAATAATTTGATATTAGCAGATTCTTGAAAATCTTAGCAGATTCTTAGAAATCATAGCTGATTCTCAGAAATCTTAACAGATTCTTAGAAAGCGTTATTAGATCCTTAAACATCTTGGCAGAAAATGAATTTTTTAACATCTTAATGAATTTTCTAGTAGTTTAATTATTTTTTTAGTGGATTATTGAATTTATTTAAAATTTTAATGATTTTTCTAGCACAATTATTAATTTTTTAGAAGTTTATTGAATTTGTTGGCAGAATTTTCTAGTATATTAGTGTTTTTTAGTTGATTAATTAAGTTTTAGCAAGATTCATGAATATCTTAGTGAGATTCATGAAAATCTTATTATATATCATCACATCATGAAAATCTTAGTAAGATTCATGGAAATCTTATGAGATTTATGAAAATCTTATGAGATCCATAAATATCTTAGTAAGATTGATGAAAATCTTATGAGATTTGTGAAAATCTTAGTAGATTCTTAGGAATCTTTGCTGATTCTTAGAAATCTTGACGGATTCTTGAAAAGCTCGGTAGATCTTTAAAAATCCTGGCAGAAAATGCATTTTTCAGCATCTTAACGAATTTTCTAGTAATTTAATTAATTTTTTAGCGGATTATTGAGTTTTTCAACAATTCAATGAATATTTTTAGCACATCAATTAATTTTTTAGAAGTTTATTGAATTTTTTTTAGCAGATTTTTTACTATATTAATGTTATTTAGTTGATTAATTATGTTTTAGCAAGATTCATGAAAATCTTTGCAAGATTCATGAAAATCTTAGCAAGATCCATGAAAATCTTAGCAAGATCCATGAAAATCTTAGTAAGATTCTTGAAGATCTTATCAGATCCGCGAAAATCTTAGTAAGATTCATGAAAGTCTTTTGAGATGCATGAAAATCTTAGTAAGATTCATCAAAATCTTATAAGATTCTTGAAATGCTTAGCAGATTCTTCAAAATCTTAACAGATTCATGAAAATTTTGGTATATTTAAAAAAATCTTGTTGACGAATTTAAGAAAAACTTGAAAATTTAAAAGACAAATTTAAGAAAATTTTTAAGATATTAAGAAAAACCTTATCATTCTTGAAACCTTAAGATTTCTGAAATCTTAGTAGATTCATGAAAATCTTAGCAGATTCTTGAAAATTTTTTTTCCTTTTTTTTTTTTTTTTTATTTATATATATATATATACTTAATATATACTAAATTCTTAGCAGATCCTTCAAAATCTTAACAGATTCATGAAAATTTTGTTATATTTAAAAAAATCTTGTCAACAAATTTAAGAAAAACTTGAAAATTCAAAAGAAAAATTTAAGAAAACCTTTAAAATATTAAGAAAAACCTTATCATTCTTGAAACCTTAAGATTCTTGAAAATCTTAGTAGATTCGTGAAAATCTTAGTAAATTCATAAATATCTTAGCAGATTCTTCAAAATCTTAACAGATTCATGAAAATTTTGGTATATTTAAAAAAAATCTTGTTGACAAATTTCAGAAAAACTTGAAAATTTAAAAGAAAAATTTAAGAAAACCTTTAAAATATTAAGAAAAACCTTATCATTCCTAAAACCTTAAGATTCCTGAAAATCTTGGTAGATTCGTAAAAATCTTTGCAAATTTTTGAAATTCTTAGCAGATTCATGAAAATCTTAACAGAATAAAAAAAAATTTGTTATATTTAAAAAAATCTTGTTGACAAATTTAAGAAAAACTTGAAAATTTAAAAGAAAAATTTAAGAAAATTTTCAAAATATTAAAAAATCTTATCATTCCTAAAACCTTAAGATTTCTGAAAATCTTAGTAGATTCATAAATATCTTAGCAGATTCTTGAAATTCTTAGCAGATTCTTCAAAATCTTAACAGATTCACGAACATTTTGGTATATTTAAAAAAATCTTGTTGACAAATTTAAGAAAAACTTGAAAATATTAAGAAAAACTTCATTAATTTGTGTTCATGTAAATCTTTCTAGATTCAAGAAAGTTTTGGCAAATTGAGAATCTGCGAAGAATTTTTAGACAATTTTAACAAATTTTTAGAAATTATTAGAGATTGTCTAATATTATTTTATATTTTCTTCTTTTTTAGTTCGAAAGTGTGAGAAGAAAAGCACTGATACAAATTTCTGTACTATTGGGCCACTCCGTAATGCACGTTAGGAAAACTACTGCCACTAAATTCTACGAGGCTCTTATAATTCATTCGGATTGTCTGGACATACCTGGTGATGACCTGGACGAGGTAATAATAGAAAATTGATTTATTCTCATTATTATAAGACTCTAGAGCACCTCGATAAAGAATGTTTACATAGAATCTGGATATAAAAGTGATGTAGAAGTATCTAGATTTTCTTTATTTTTTTATTTAAAGTATACCGAGTTACTGTAGGTCATTATGATATTAGTATTTTGTACAAATTTGCCAAATATTTTGTGTACTTAAGACAAACTGTTTAAAAGTTACAAGAGATATAATAAATAAATGCACATAAATCAACTTTCAACAATTAACTTTAATATTTATTCTATTATTACTACAGATGGTTAAATTATTACTTACCATTTATATTTTATTTTAGGTGATGACTTATTTGTCAGAAGGAAATTGGGATGGTTCCGTACAAGAAGTTCGAACTATGAGAAACGATGTATGCAAATTATTGGGGGTGCCTCCACCGATAACTCCTGGATCTTCACAAAATAAATAGTTAAAGTAAATATATTTGTATATATATATATATATATATATATATATATAATTATTATTCTTATTTCAGATTATTTACTGAAGATATTCCCTCCTTTGTGTGATGCAAACGATATAAAAAACAATTGTATGTGATAAGTATGCTTGACTAAGAAAACTTTTATATGACAATTAAATGGTTAAATGCATATTTAGTTTATATATTTTTTATATTATATTATGATATTTTATAAGTATGCTTTTGCAATTTTAAGCTGACGAGTTAGAATAATTATTTTTTTTTAAATTATATATCCATTGCTTATTTATTTTTATGTTTTAAAAGTATTATTTCGAATTTTTGGGCATGCAAATGCAAACATATTGGTAAAAACTGTCCTTAATAAGGTTAAATAATTTTTAAATTCATTTGTATATTCGATCATATTTTTTTAAATTAATTTATTATATTTCACAGCTTTGTGTGGAGCACTTTATTATAAATTTGAATTTCATGTCAAGGAATTTGCATTTTATAATATATATTAATAAAATAAATTAAGAATAATATTTTTTCATAAATTTGCATTTTATTTATATTCAGACATCACTTATTTATTTTCGTGTTTTAAAAAAGACATTTAAATTTTTTTAACTTGAAAGACTTTTTATTACACTTTATTGATATAATTAGGTTTTTTCCATAATAAGTTTCATAAATTTTTGAATTCATAATTAACAAAAAATAAAATTGTATCAGATTCTAAAATATATTTATTAACATTGCCTAGCTATTATGTATTGAAAATTATTTTAACAAGCACTTTTGTATGACTATTTATATAAATAAATAATGATTTTATTAAAAAAATGGCTTGTTTATTTATTTACATATATAGGAGTTTATTTTAAACATAATTTCTATCATTTTTAACTCAAATTTAATAAAATATATATTATTTTCACATAAATACAACACTTAATTTGTGTTTTATTCGCTGAAAATGATTCAAATTGAGATTTGAAACTTATAATAGTCTATAAACAGTTTTTAGAAACATAATTTTAATTGAAAATTTTAATTTTGGTTCAAAAATATTACAAAAACAACAGATTATTTTATAAAAATTGTGTATTATATATTATATATATTATATATTATTTATGTTATATATAGGAGTTTGTTTTAAGCATAATTTCAAATGTTTTTTATTATTTTTAACTTAATTTTATAAATTATATACAATTTTCACATAAATACAACTATTAAGCAAGTTTTTATTCATTGTGTTTCAGTTTTTTCATATATTTCTAATATAATTTGTGTATTTTATTCACTGAAAATGATTCAAATTAGGACTCAAAACGTATAGTACTTTATAAAATGTTTTTAGAAACATAATTTGGTTTGAAGATTTTAGTTTTGGTTCAAAAATATTACAAAAATGACACATTTTTTCCCAAATTACGAAAAACTTGTCCCAACAGTATGTGATATATATATATATATATATATATATATATATATAATATTTATAAAGCTATAAATATTTAAGACAAATAATCCAAACAAACAACACACTTAAACAACATATACCATTTTAATTAAAATTTAAAATATCATTTTGTGTCTTTGTCCCTTTGCTTATAATAATGATTTTATTAGAAAAATGGTTTGTGTATTTAATTAGACATATAGGAATTTGTTTTAAACATAATTATAAAATGGTTATTATTATTTTTAATTTAATTTTTTGAAATAGCTTTTGCACAAATACAATTATTAAGCAAGTTTTTGTTGATTGTGTTTAAGTTTTTTCATATAATTCTATAAAATTGGTGTGTTTTATTTACAGAAAATGATTCAAAACAAAAAACGAAATATATAGTATACTATAAACAGTTATTAGGAATATAATTTTTTTAAAATTGTAAATTGGTTCAAAAATATTACAAAAACGACACATTTTGCCTGAAATTATAAAAGAATCCTTACAGTATGTGATATATATTTATTTATAAATCTATAAACATTTACAACAAATATCATAAACAAACTACTTAATTCAACAACTATTTTTCAATACAATTTCAAATTTCAAATTTCGTGTCTGTGCCCCTTTGCTTATTCTCATAATCATCCAATCACGACCATAGCCCGGACTATTCGCTTTTCGTTGCTAACTTCACTCCAAACAAAATGATTCACTTCATCGTTCAACGACGACGAAGAACAAGTAGTGTTGTTTTGGGCGTAACCGAATTAATATTAAATATGTAAACGTCCCATTAATAATAATAATAGTAGTAATAATTATAATAATACTATATCTCCATTATTATTATAATAGTTTTGTAATACAAGTGCGTTTTGTTACTAAATCGTATGTTGTGTCGACGAAAGTGCAAAGATTAAACATGGACCTGTTTACAAGTGTCTTGTGTTTTCTTGTAAACATTGCAGTTTTTAGTGTAAATGCAGGTAAATATAGTAATTGATAGATGTTGATAATTGATTTGGTAATATGTGTGTAAAATGCAGAAGTTAAATTGGTTTTGTACAATGTTTTGTTGGCTTTTATATTTTGGGGGCACAACCTCAAAATGGAGAATTTTTGACAAAAATTTTGAGCAATAAATATTTTGATTTATATAAACAGAATTATTTTACACACACTGGCTATGCACTAGAATATCCGTTTTTGAATATTATATATATATAATATATATAATATATATATATTTGTTTTATGTGTTAATTTTAACTTTGTGTCAATAAAGGCTAGGTCTAAGCTTGACACTTGTATTAAATTTGTGTTTGAAACAAATTAAATTGCTTTTGCACAAAATCTATATAGAGATTACATCTAAAATATTACATAGAATCTCACTAAAACTTCAACTTTATAAATAAATATGATAGGCAAATTGTATGCACTTCGTGTTATCACATCGAAGGGAATAATTAGTTAATATAGTATACTTCTTTCTACTTCTTATATCGTTATAAATTTTTTAGTTATTATAGACCACATTGTAATCATATTATATGCACACTATTTTGTTTCTCAAAGTCTTTATTTTATAGTGACTAATTTAATTCAGTTTATGGGAATTTCTGCTACATTAGCTTATAAAGCTTAGTAGTCGACAAGTTTGGCAAAAACGCTTTTGTTTTCTTTGAAAGCTTTCAGAGAAAATAAATAAATTATCAATGAAGAACCCAAGATCTTTTTTCACCGAAACATACTTATAGATATTCATCGATATATTTATTTGTATTTCTTATGTTTATGTGTTAATTTTACTTTGTATCAATAAATGCTAGGTTTTAAAGCTTCATATTTGTATTAGATTTGTGTATAAAACAATTTGCACTAAATCTATAGAGAGATATATCTAAAATATTACATAAAATCTCTACTAAAACTTAAATTTTATAAACAAACATGATAGACAAATTGTATGCGATTCGAGTTAATGCATCGAAGACACTAATTATTTTGCCAAGGCCCGAAAGATTTATTGTATATTTTTTCATACATTATATTATCAATTATTTGTTTATTTATGCAGATAATTTATAGTCATATCGAAATACACGGCATATACTCAATTTACTCTTTGATTGAAGTCTATTTTTAGAGTGACTAATTTAATTCAGTTTATGGAAATTTCTGCTACATTAGCTAAATAAAGCTTAGTGATGGACAAGTGGAGAAAAAAGCTTTTGCTTTTGCTCGAAAGCTTTTAGAGATAATAAATTATCCATGAAGAACCCAAGATCTTTTTTCTCCGATACACACATTATTTCTTATAGATCTTCATTGTATTTATGTATCCTATACATGGTCCATACCTAATTCGATTACAAATATTATGAAAACAAAGGTCCTTAATAGGACCCTTGGGGTACTCCAGTTTTGCTTTGTTTTTTCATAACCGCCAACTGACAAAAATTTGAGAGCAATGGTTTGAAATTAGTATAATTTATTTAAAATACCACCAAAATATTATACACACACTTGATAGTGCATCAGCATATTATTTTTAAATATTAAAACATTTATTTTTATTATTTATGTTTTGTGTGTTAAAATTAACTTTGTGTCAATAAGGCTAGGTTCAAGCTGATATTTGTATTAAATTTGTGTATGAAACAAATGCACAAAATCTATCGAGAGGTTACATCTAAAATACTACATAGAATCTCCACTAAAACTTACCTTTATAAAAAAAACATGATAGACAAATTGTATGCAATTCGTGTTAACACATCGGAGAAGAGAAAATTATCAAAACCAGATAGATTTTATTGTATACTTTTCGGACTTATATATGGTATTTACTCTTATAAATTACTTTAGATATAGATATATATATATATAAATATATATATTATATATATTATAATATATATATATATATATATATATAATCTATATATTGGAGAAAAAGCTTTTGCTTTTGCTTGAAAGCTTTCAGAGAAAATAAATAAATTATCCATGAAGAATCCACGATCTTTTTTCACCGACACCACACTTATAGATATTCATTGATATATTTATTTTATTTTCTTATGTGTTATGTGTTAATTTTAACTTTGTGTCAATAAAGGGTAGGTCCAAGCTTTTGACATTTGTATAAATTTGTGCTTGAATAAATTGAATTGCTTTTGCACAAAATCTATATAGAGATAACATCTAAAATATTACATAAAATCTCTACTAAAACTTCTACTTTATAAATAAACATGCAAAAAGGCAAATTGTATGCAATTCGAGTGAATGCTTCGAAGAGACTAATTATTTTGCCAAGGCCCAAATATATATTGAGTTGTATTTTTTTTTTACATATATATTATTTATTTGTTATTTATGTAGATACCTATTGGCTGTGTGCAGTAATTTTGTAATTGTATTGATATGCACACATTATCCTCAATTTACTATTTGATTGAAGTCTTTAATTGGAAGCAGCAAATTCAATAATGGGAATTCTTGCTACATTTAGCAATAGTAACAAGTTTGGAGAAAAAGCTTTGCTTTTGCTTGAAAGCTTTCAGAGAAAATAAATAAATTATCCATGTAGAACCAAGATCTTTTTCACTGAAACCACACTTATAGATCTTCTTTGTATTCTATATATAGTCCTATATCATTGTATCCTATACATGATTTAACCTATATCATTTACAAATATTATGGACAACAAAGGTCCTTAATATGACCCTTGTGGTACTCCGTTTTGCTTTGTTTTTCATAACCTCAAAAGAGAAATTTTGACAAAAATGTTGAGCAATGCTTGGATTGGAAATGGAAATATTATACACACTTTTAATGCATCAGATGATTATTTTTCAATATGTATATATATTTTATTTATTTATTGTTTTTGTGTGTTGATTTTAACTTTGTGTCATAAATGCTAGGTCCAAGTTTGTATTTGTATTAAATTTGTGTATAAAAAAATTTGCACAATATAGAGAGATTATATCTAAAATATTACATGAAATCTTTACTAAACTTCAACTTTATAAACAAACATGATATAGACAAATTGTATGCAATTCATGTTAACACATCGAAGAGAATAATTAGTTATTTTATCAAAACCAGATAGATTGTATTAAATCTATAGAGAGATTATATCTAAAATATTCCATAAAATCTCCTCTAAAACTTTTACTTTATAAAAAAAACATGATAGACAAATTTTATGCAATTCGTGTTAACATATCAAAGAGAATAATTAGTTATTTTATCAAAACCAGATAGATTGCATTCAATATATAGAGAGATTATATCTAAAATATTACAGAAAATCTTACTAAAAACTTTATTTTATAAACAAACATGATAGACAAATTTTATGCAATTCGTGTTAACACATAGAACAGAATAATTAGTATTTATCAAAACCAGATTATAATACAAAATATTATGAATAACAAAGATCCTTAATAGGAACCTTGTGGTACTCCAATAAAAATAATAATAAAAACATGCACTAACTAATATTGCTTCTAACATTTTTAAGGAATGTTTGCAGATTCTTGAAAATTATGAAAAATTCTTGAAAATCCAAAGTAATGTCTCGGCAGAATTTTGATAATCATTGTATCTATATATGGTCTATACCTTTATCATTTACGAATATTATGAATAACAAAGGTCTTAATAGGACCTTGTGGAACTCCAATTTTGCTTTGTTACTTTTAAGACATTTATCTAATGAAGAGAATGATTAGCTATTTAATAAAATGATTAATTACTATTTTTGTTTATATTAGTTTTGGATTTTAAAATATAGTTTCTATATATTTTATTTTCCTTTTCTTTCAGAGTTTGTATCGAAATATTACTCAGAATACGAATGTAACACCCCATTGCTCGATAGAGCTGCCTTAAAAGCCACCTCACATTTGAGCGAAAGAGGTCCTGAAAATGCAAGACTAGAAGGTCAGTTTTATATTTTTTATTTATATGTATTATAGTACTCGTATTGCATGCTGTAGATAATTGTTGTAAATAATATTAAATTAGGTATTAACCTTTTAGTAGATATTTTGATGTTTTGTATCAGATCGAGAAGGAAATGTGTTAGGAAATCATTATAAATATAAAATGGAATAGAAAAATTAATCGATATACAAAATGGTATTTGATTTGGAAAACTGTATATTGAAATAAGTTTCTAATAACATTATTAGAAATTGATCTAGATTGTATTATTGGTAATGGACTGGTTTTAAATGTTTACAGTTAAAATACAGTTTTTTTTATATAGTACTATGTTTGCACTAATTTAAATTTGACCAAGATCTAAGTTTTCATTTTGATGAGCTATTCAGGACGTACCGTTTATACTACAACCTTGAAATTTGAATATGTTTCACATCAATGTGTCTACTATGATGACAAATACTAAAATCGAAAAATTTTCTCTCAAAATTTTGATATATTAACTTTTTTGAAACAAAAAGTATACAAAACTTGATCAAGATTGAAGTTCTGTATATGGATGAGCTACAGTTTGTACAGTTTGTACAGTTTGTACTACAACCTTGAAACATGAGTATGTTTTACATTAACGTGTCTACTATGACAACAAGTACTAAAATCTGAGTTTTTTTTTTCAAAATTTTGAAATTTTAACTTTTTTAAACAAAAAGTACCGAATATCTGGCCAAGATTGTATTTTGATGAGCTCTTCAGGACGTACCGTTTGTACTACATCCTTGAAATTTGAATATGTTTTACATCAACTTGTCTACTATAACAACAAATACTAAAATCAATGAGTTTTCTTTTGATGTTTTGAGATATTAATTTTTTTTTAAATAAAGTACCAAAAAACTTGGTCAAGATCTGCTTTTTGATGAGCTCTTCAGGACGTACCGTTTGTACTACAAACTTGAAATTTGAGTATATTTTATATCGACGTGTCTACTATGATGACAAATACTAAAATCGATGAGTTTTGTTTCAAAATTTTGAGATATTAACTTTTTTTCAACAAAAAGTACCCAAAATATGGCCAAGATTGAAGTTCTGTATTTTGATGAGCTCTTCAGGACGTACCGTTTGTACTACAAACTTGGAATTTGAGTATATTTTACATCAACTTGTCTACTATAACAACAAATACAAAAATCAATGAGTTTTCTTTTGATATTTTGAGATATTAATTTTTTTTTAAATAAAAGTACCAAAAAACTTGGCCAAGATTTAAGTTCTGTATTTTGATGAGCTCTCAGGGACACACCGTTTGTACTACAAACTTGAAAATTGAGTATGTTTTACATCAACGTGTCTACTATGACAACAAATACTAAAATCCATGAGCTTTCTTTAAAAATTTTGAGATATTAATTTTTTTTTAACAAAAAGTACCAAAAAACTTGATCAAGATCTGCTTTTTGATGAGTTTATAGGGACACACTGTTTGTACTACAAATTTGTTGAAAATTTAAATTGAGATTTATAAATTACACTGATGGAAAAACATTTTTACAGTATTTTATAAAAAAAATTATATACAGATTTTTAATAACTTTTAATAGTTTGTTCAAATTCTTAATAGTTTTATGAAATCCTTAAATTTTACCAATTTTAGATCATTCAAATCGGATCAAAACTGCCATTTTTTGCACATTTAGCTCTGTATCTTCAAAATGGCGGGACCTGTCTTTGCCAAAAACTAATCACCTCTTCTCCCAATCATCACAAATTGAATGTTTTTTTAGATCATTCAAATCCGATACTCAGTTGTCTCAAAAACTGGATTTGTATTTTATGCACTCTTTGCTCTGTATCTCCGTAACGGCTGGACGTGCCTTTGCCAAAAACTAATCAGCACATCTCCCTATCAATAGGAATGGAATGTTTTTTGAATTATTCAAATCGCTTCATCCGTGTTCTCGAAATCATCGACGAAAATTTGTATATGCACACACACACATACATACACACACATACATACACACACATACATCCATTTTTTTCAAGGTATGCCAAAATATTCAGAAACCTTTGAAACGTAAAGATATGTAAAAAATTTTATTTTCGATTTTTTTTGCGATTATTATAACTTGCCCTATGGGAAGTTAAAAAAAAACTACAAAAACTTGGATAAGATATGAATTTTGATGAGTTCTAAAATTCAAATCGAGATTTTTAAATTTCACTTACGGGAAAAGATTTTTGCAGTACCTTTATATACAATTTGATCTGATACAAAACATTTTGCACCGTCCAATAACCCAAATTCCACAAACAACAACAAGAACAATCAATCTTTCAACTCATTCGTCGATTATTAAAATATCAATTTTTAAAATAACCGTTCTCAAAAATTCTCAATAAAAACACAATGGCGAGAGGTCGAGACCAGGTCAATCTTTAATGGAAATATAGAAACATATGTGCACGTCATAAATAAATCCACAAAATCAAAACAAACAAACAAACATTTTAAATGGAACCATCAAGTCAAGTTGTCTTTCTGTTTCTCTTTAGGTTGAGTAGAAAGGACACAGACTTGTAAGGCGGTGGACAATTTAAAATAAAAAGTTTTAAGTGTTTTTTTTATCAAAATGGTGGTTAGTGTACGTTGGGCTTTCAACGTGTCCTCCTGGACTCCGACGAAAATGCAAATGCAATTCGCCTTATCCTGCATCCAGCAGGAGGAGAAGGAAAGGATCAGTAAATACGTTTTTGGGGACTCCTTTAAGGCGTCTTTGGTTGGACGTCTGATGCTCCGAAAGTTTGTTCATGTCGTCACCGGTTTGCAGTACAACGAGATCAAATTTAGACGCGATGATAAGGGCAAACCCTTTTTGGACAACTCCGACTACCAATTGGACGTCAACGTTTCCCACCAGGGCGACTATGCAGTCCTGGCTGGCGAACTTGGTCCTTGCAAACTGGGTGTAGACGTCATGAAAATGGAGTACACGACCAAAAACAGACCCTTGGCAGAGTTTTTTAGACTCATGACCAGACATTTCTCACCACTCGAATGGTGCAACATCAAACGAGAAGCCAACGAGCAGAAACAAACCGAAGGCTTCTACAGACACTGGTGCCTAAAAGAATCCTATGTCAAAAACTTGGGATGTGGCATCACTGTCAACTTGCAAAATATTTCATTCGAAAATCCAAAGTCGTGCTTTGTCTGAAGACAAAGTTGTCTCGGATACAGTTTGCAAGGTGAATGGTGAATATTTAGACGGATGGAGGTTCGAGGAATCTTTGCTCGATGAGGATCATTGTGTTGCTGTTTCTTTGTATTCGAAGGAGGACAAACCACCAATTAAGTTGTTTGATTTTCTAAATTTTGATGATTTGGTGAAAAATGCTGTGCCTTTGCTCGAACCTGATCCAGAATTGTGCGACGAATTTTTTAAAAAGGAATCTCATCCTTACATAAATAATTAAACTATATATATATATATTAAAATTCGGGCGTAACATCAATAAAAATAGTATGAGAATTTTTTTTTAAAAGTTTATTTAAAATCCATCATTCAGTGGTAATCAAATTAAATTTTGCTATCCCAATATAGCATATGAATTATTAGGATACAAAATTTTTAATTTGATTACCACTGAATGATGGCTAAGATGCTAACCGAAACGTATGGATTTTAAATAAACTTTAAAAAAAACTTTCATACTATTTTTATTTATGTTACGCCCGAATTTTAAACTCAAATTGAATATATATATATATATATATATATATATATATATAAAATTGTTTTGAGAATTTTTGAGAACTATATATATAGTGATAAATATGAAATTATATTTTAAAAATTTATTGTTAGTTTTATGTAGTTTTATATGTAGATCGTATTTAGGCTAAAAGCATGTTCTGTAGTTTTTTTATATAATAAATATTTTTAACACATTTTTGTATATATAAATATATATTTTAAATTTAGTGTATAAAGAGCAGAAATTATTTGTTGTTTTGACTATTGGCAAGTTGCTAAATAAAACATGCACTAACTAATATTGCTTCGAACATTTTTAACAAATTATTTTCTGTATAAAAACGAATATTAATTTAAATGTCGGTGAAGATAAGTTCTTGAAAATTTTAATCGATCATTAAAAATATTATAAGATTCTTGGAAATTTCAAAAGATTTTACCAGATATTGGAAGATCTTGACAAGATTCTTAAAAATCTTGATAGTTTCAGAAATCTATTTAAATTCTGCTAGATTTTGAAAACTATTACGAGGTATTAGACAGTATATGGGCAAGTTCTTTAAAATTTTACCAAAATCTTAAAAATTTCACTAGTTTAGTTTAGTATATTAGAAATTTTTGTCAAATTCTTGAAAGTATTGATAGGTTCTTAAAAATCATGATAAATTTTTGAAAATCCAAGTAAATTCTTGACAGATTCCTGATAATCCTAGCAAGTTCTTGAAAACCTAAGTAAATTCTTGACAGATTCTTGAAAATTATGACAAATTCTTGAAAATCCAAGTAATGTCTTGGCAGATTTTTGATAATTCTAGCAAGTTCTTGAAAATCTTGACAAAATTCAGAAAACTTAACTAGATATTAAGGAATGTTGGCAGATTCTTGAAAATTATGACAAATTTTTGAAAATTCAAGTAAATTCTTGACAGATTTTTGATAATCCTAGCAAGTTCTTGAAATCTTGCCAGATTTTAGAAAATTAATCAGATATTAAAAAATGTTGATTCTTGAAAATTTATACCGATTTAATGGATTAGAAAATTTTGGCAGGTTCTTGAAACTTGACGGACAGTTTTAGAAATTTTTCCAGGTATTAGAAAATCTCTTGGCAGTTTCTTGTAGACTTTTGATTAAAATTAATTTTGATTAAATTCTATTAAATTTGTTTGCCATGTTCATCAGATTTTTGCCAGTCTTGTCATTTTTATCAGTTTCCTGGCTGCTTTATCAAACTTGGGA